GGACTGTAGATGTTGAAATCCCTGAATTCCTTGCAATTGTACTTGCAAAATGTACTTGAAATGTTGTTCTTAAACTGTTCGACTATTTGCTCAGGCAGTTGTTCACAAAGTGATGAACCTCGCCATATACTTGCTTGTGAATGACTGAGAATTTTTGGGGAAGCTGCTTTTATACCCGATCATGGCACCCACCTGTTCCTAATAAGCCTGCTCACCTGTGGGATGTTCCAAATAGGTGTTTGATGAGCATTCCTCAACTTTCCCAACTTCTCTGTCACATGTTGCTGCCATCAAATTCTAAAGGTTATAATTATTTGCAAAAAAACAATAGATAAAGTTTATGAGTTTAACATTAAATATCTTGTCTTTGTAGTGTATTCAATTGAATATAGGTCAAAAAGGATTTGGGACTCATTGTATTCTGTTTTTATTTACTTTAATTACAATTTCACAACTTCAGTGAAATTGGGTTTTGTACATAGTATGAAAGTCCATCTGTACATATATATATATATATATATATATCACCAGACTTAAATGATGGATATATATTGATTGACATAATATACAGAATATACAGTGCAGTAACTTAACATTTTCATGCTTAAATGCATGTATAAAAGTTGTACTATTCTTTGATAAAAAAGGAATACAAAAGGTGTGAAGTAAACAAAAAACAACTTACTTTTTTCCCCAGTGTAAATGTCTCCCATGAAAATCAAACATACAAACCACCATCCACCTCAAAGATGGCAGAAAGCTGCAGAACAGCAGACCAACATTAATTCCAAGAACTTATTTTGTGATTTTTACACGCTCCTTTTACATTTTTTCTTTTCTTTTCACATTTTAACAGTTTTCCTAAATCCCTGCACCACCATTAGTAGTGGGCCTACTGTAGTCCTCTTTTAATGAGAAACTTTTGGCTTTGCCTGCTGGTGCACGATTGCCTGGATATCAATGTCAATCTTAGTGCATCCAATCTGCATGAGATGAAAAAGTATGTCATCCATGAGCCTGTTTCTCTCTTTTGATTTGATGCGCTTCATAGTTAGAAAACTGCTCTCACAAATATACGTGCTCCCAAACATACTGGTCATTGAGAGTTCAAACTCTCTGAGGTGTGGAAAACGAGACTGTGGTAGCAGACTCCAAAAGGAAATTCCCTTCAGTGCGCCTCGCTTGAAAAAACAGATCTGACTGCAGGTCGCAGAGTTTCTGCTGCAACTCCGGAGGTTGCTCACTGACAGCTGCGGAAAGGGGATCCACGAGGAGCTTTATCCATTGCTGCATCGCATGAAAATCTTGGAAACAATGCTTATACTGCTCCTGCAGTTTCTCCATATCAGCTATGTATTTGTGATGTAACTTTTCGCACTGAGGGACATTTTTTTGCATCTCCTCACAAGCGGGAAAGTGTGTCAAAATCAGAGGATGGAATGATTGCAGTCCACCTGTGGCAAATTCAGCTGATTGGACATGATTTGGAAAGCCACACCTGTCTATATAAGATCCCACAGCTGACAGAGCACGTCAGAGCACAAATCAAGCCATGAAGTCGAAAGAATTGCCTGTAGACCTCCGAAACAGGGTTGTGTTGGTGCACAAATCTGGGGAAAGTTACAGAAAAATATCTGCTGCATTGAAGATCCCAAAAAGCACAGTGGTCTCTCATCATTAAGAAATGGAAGGTGTGTGGAACCACCAGGACTCTTCCCAGAGCTGGCCGCCCAGCCAAAATGAGCAAGCGGGGGAGAAGGGCCTTGGGCAGGGAGGTGACCAAGAACCCGATGGTCACTCTAACAGAGCTCCAGCGTTCCTCTGAGGAGATGGGAAAACCCTACAGAAGGGCAACCATCTCTGCAGCACTCCACCAGTCAGGTATTTATGTTAGAGTGGCCAGACAGAGGCCACTCCTCAGTAAAAAGCAAATGACAACCTGCTTGGACTTTGCTAGAAAGCACCTGAAGGACTCACAGACCAGGAGAAACAAAATTCTCTGGTCTGATGAAATGAAGATCGAACTATTTGGCCTGAATGCCAAGCGTCATGTCTAGAGGAAACCAGGCACCGCTCACTACCTCACCAATACCATCCCTACAGTGAAGCATGGTGGTGGCAGCATCATGCTGTGGGGATGTTTTACAGCGGCAAGATCTAGGAGACTTGTCAGGATCAAGGGAAAAATTAATGCTGCTAAGTACATCGAAATCCTTGATGAAAACCCGCTTTGTGTAGAATTTTTGAGAGAAAAAGGGAATTTAATCCATTTTGGAATAAGGCTGTAACATAACAAAATGTGGAAAAAGTAAAGCGGTATGAATATTTTCCAGATGCACTGTATATATATATATATATATATATATATATATATATATATATATATGTATACACATATACACAACAAACATACAAAAACCACAATTTGTGTAAAACACAAAATTTTTAATTTGCTTGTTGCATCATACACAAGACTGGAGGCTGTAATCACTGCCAAAGGTGCTTCGTCCAAGTATTGAGTAAAGGGTGTGAATACTCATGTATATGCAACATATGAGTGTTCTTCATTTGAATAAATTTGCAAAATGTTCCAAAAGATTTTTTTCGCTTTGTCATTATGGGGTATTTTGAGTAGAATTTTTGAGGGAAAAAGGGAATTTAATCCATTTTGGAATAAGGCTGTAACATAACAAAATGTGGAAAAAGTGAAGTGGTATGAATGCTTTCCAGATGCACTGTAAATCACCACAAATGCTGTCCTCCAAAAACACTGGAATTTCAGAGCGCAGAGCAAAAAAAAAAAAGGCTCCATAAACTTCCTCGCCTCATCCATCTGATGTCCGTGTGCATTGGTAAATCCCTGTACACTACATACAATTCTTCCAAACATTAAATAAATCTCCTGTGAATGAGGGATCTATTTCCACCTCAAGTGAGATTTGTCACATTAGTCATCAAATCCATAACGTGGCTAAAGTTGAGTCTTTGCGCAGAGGGCCTCCTGGCAGATAGAGTCTCTAAGCAACTAAGCACATAGGTTTGCACTTAAATTCTGTGAACAGATATACTGCTTCCCATTCAACCTGAAACACAGGGTTTTTCCGGTCAGAGGACACATTTTTGTTATTATTTTTATTGTTATGTTCAAAAATTAATCTAAGGGCCGCTTCAAATGAGGGTGTGGGCCGCGGGCTGCCAGTTGCCTATCCCTGGTATATATATATATATATATATATATATATATATATATATATGTGTGTGTGTGTGTGTGTGTGTGTGTGTGTGTGTATTTATGCGTTGCCATCATGTGAATCTTATATAAATGCAGTGGTTTCACTGTGACAGGGAGGTTATGGACTTTGGGTTATTAGATGATATAATACAGGCAGAGAAAGCTCAACTGTCACTTATTGAGGCATATTTTATTATATGTGTCAGGTCAGATAATTTCACAGATTAAACTCCATCATCTCATCATGGAGCTGGGTCCTCACATTTCTGCTGCTGTGGTTAATTTCCTGCTGCAGGATTTTCATAATGCTCAGAGGTCGACCTCTTTGTGTCAGTATACCATTTAACTTAAATCCAAAGTGGGAAGGTGTGATTTTAATAATCTGATATAATGAATTATCACCCATAAATGTCTTCAAATGCCACTCGCCACACAGGCTGTCACACTTTAAACTCTGAGCCACTAAAAGAAAAGTTAAAAGACCACTTAGTTCCCAACAATAAGACCAATTATGCACACTCTCACCCCAATGAATGTGCTCTGTTTGCAGCCTAGATACCACTGGGAGAATCAATTCAATTTGTGTGATAAACTCTATGATAAAATAAATTTATCACCTTCACAAGATTCCTTTGCACTACATAAGAAGGAAAGTTTGATTTGCAAACAGATACAGACTTCATGGAGCTTTTTCGGCACCAAAGTAAAATAAAGATGACACATAAAGATGGCAGCTAAGATAAGTCTGCAGAGCACAGCATGGAAACAAATATGCTTAAAAGTTTTATTTATTTTTTGGCACAACCTGAAATTTTTCTCAGACTTTGAATGAGCAAAAACAGAAATAAAGATTATGACAAATCTGCAGGGTCACAAGTTTAAAAAGGTGCTTCAGGCAGGTCTGAAGGTCAGGGTTACAGCAGACTGTTGAGACCGAACTCTTCATGATCCTGATTCTGAGAGCCATTAAAAGGCAGCCAAGGTGAGGAAGTAAAAATGTGTGGGAGAAGGGCTTCACTCTAAAGGTTTGGTTTGGATCTAGTAGTTTTTTCATCATAGAACAGTTAACAAATAATCACAAATTTACACCTATGTAATCATCCACAAACAGCTTCTTTTTTTTTTTGAGAGTTGTGTAGTCATGGATTTGCATTCTGAAAGCATTTTATATTACAGTAATAACATTGTAATGATGGGGTGTGATAACTTGTATGTAAAGCATCAGTAATAACATGATATAACCAAAGTAAAAACAAGGTAATAATGCCTTGATCACATCAAAGCTTATATCTGGATAGTTATCACTAAAATGTATGTAAAAGAGTGATATTGACCCTAAATCTCAGGGTAAAAGTGAGGAGACAGATTTGTAGATTTAAATATCTGGTAAAGTCACTACATACCAGCGCCACATTTGGATTCCAAAAGGGCTATATGATGCTATAATGACCATCAATCAGTGCTGCAAATTATAAACCCACCTGAGTCTGTGCAATGGTAGATTATCATTGGTAAATAACAACATGGGAATATTAAATGGAAATACCACTGCAGTTTTGTTACTATGGGTCCAGGGGTGGATCTACTGGGGTGGCAGGTGCCACCCTAAAATTAACCCTTGCCACCCCTGCTGCCACCCCAACCGGCAGCAATGAACCGATAGAAAAATGTAACAGTTACGAGCACGAAGTTCCAATGTCCGACGACAGTGAATGCAGCACGAGAGACTGCGAGAGCGCTAGAGCGACACAAGACTTCTTTGATGGGAGAGGCGCGAACATACAGTCTATGGGCTCGAAGCGAGAGAGAGACAGTCGGGAGCCAAGGAGGAAGGCACGAGGAAAGAGGTAAAAGCCATTTTTTTATATCTATCAAATAACGAAATGATAAGGAAAGCACAATGTGACTACACTCCGGACTCAATTCTCTGCTACTCAACCGAATAATGGGACTGGGCATGTGTGAGTGTAAGCTATGCTACAGGCTGTAAAGACGATCACAGGAAGAAAAATCAGAGTCCAAAGTGGCCGTGTTTCTGCTAAAAACCCACAAAATCGAACCGAAATTAGCCCCATATGTCTTGCTAGCATATAAACACAGACAGTGATCCACACATTATAGCTTATAAACACACTGAATATTGTTTCAGTTTCTGTAAAGGGAAACTTTGCAAATTTACTTTGAATCTTACAGAAATGAAGAGAAAAGGGACCCTACACAATTTTTTCAAGAGGGCCAGAGTACAAAATGAAGTAGGACATGAGGTGGAAGGAGAGAGAGAAGACGTTGAAGGAGAGAGAGACAAGCATGAGGTGGAAGGCGAGAGAGAGGATGAAGAAAAGGTGGAAGGAGAGAGAGACAAGCATGAGGTGGAAGTAGAGGGTGAAGATAAAGACGAGCTGGCGGAACAGAGGGACGAGCAAAGAAAATCTGACCACAGAACATGTGGAGGAAGGAGAGCACCACCAAATAGGAAAGGACAGTGCCTGAGCCATCACCAGTGACCTCCAGTAGAGCTGCTGGTCCACATGGTATGGAAATTGTTTCTGCATAATTGACCAAGTTACATATTAAAAAGGACAATTACCGAAATTGACATTTTGCTGTCATTCAATTTAACAGCTATTGTTTAGACTTCTTCAAATAAATATTCATCTTTGCTTAAATGTAAGTACTTGGGAAAACTTTTAAATGTTTAAGTATAGTCACATGGTAACAGAATATTAATATTTTGTGTACAATGTATTTTAGATCTATTGCTCAGTTTAAATTCCGAAAATCGAACAATCCAAAAATATTCTCCCTGGCTAAAATGTTCTATGTATGTGTGTTTACACAGTATGATGAATATAATGAATTGTTTTAAGTTGTTATATTGTTAAATTAGTGCAGATTCCGTATAGTTGTGAACCTTCTCCTCTCCATCTTCTAGATTTATCAAAGTCCCGATGGGAACCACCGACACAGCCAAAAAGGGAAAGTTTTCCAAGGACTCTCCAGGGAGGAGCCAGGAGAAGCTTCCGCAGTGACTGGTACAAATGCCATCCCTGGCTAGAATATTCGTAGTCAATACTCAGCCTTTAGTCAAAACGCACAAAAGCATTAGATCTAGATTAATTTGGGAAGTGTTTTGCCGGACAGCATGGAAATCACTAAATTCAGCAGTTATAGTCATCAAATTTACGTTGTGCTCACTGGTGTGCCTTTACAAAGCTTTTTAAATGATGACCTACATTGTATTTATATATTTGTTTTGGAAACTGGGAAAATGATAGTAGGCTACCTTGCATATGAGAAAGAGAGGTTTAAAATGTGACACTGGTCTAAATCCATGGAGCTGCAATGGGTTGTTGTTTTTATTTTTCCATGCCTCATTGTATTAATCTTACTGGTGTGAGAATCCTAATAAAAGAAAGATTGTATCGGACGAAGAATGTCTGTCATGTTTGTAAATGGCAGCCATGCCTTTTTGTAGTGATCAAACTCGGGCTGTGTCCGAAATGGCATACTACTCCTACTACTCCTACTAACCCCGCCTCTGAATTGAGTAGGCAGTGCGTTCACACTGTACAGTATGCGAATTTTGTGTATGCGAGAAATGCCCGGATGTATACTCAATCGGCTTCGATTTCTGAGTGTGGAACGGAGCTTGCTTCACGTACTGCTTCTGCCCCACAATGCATTGCGCCCCTCAGCTGGTAATATGGCCCTCTTTCCCGAGGCTGAAAAGAAATCGATGGCATGTGATTGCAATAATGATTATATATATCTAAACAGTATTTAGTTAGTATACATTACACATTTTTTATCATTTTATCATATTTTGATCTTTTTACCAGATTTATTTGTATTTTAAATTAGGATTATAGGTAATGTTTTTAACTATTCGTATGAATTGACTTTATTTATTTAAGTGTCTATTAAAAGTGTATTTATTACATCAAGTTTGAGCATCTTCTCATCTCTGAATGCATCATCAAAGTGGTCACTCATATTAAGCACAGACCTCTGATTAATAAAAATTATTATTGGTAGAGAGCACATGGTTCAGAATATAAAAAAGGGGGTTTCCAGTTGACAATGTATATGTGAGCTTTACTAATTCTTACTTGTGGTTGAAAATCTGATGGTTTCTGAAATTATCATTGTACATGAAAAGAATGTAGTCGGGAAATTATGTATTTGCCAAGGAATAACCGAACAAGGTCATAATAATTATGTTGTGTGTTGGTCATTTTGCAGCCCTCTGCTGCTCATCACACGCCTAGCAGGTGGTGTATAGCATTATCACCATGGATACACAGATGTTTGTGTGATTTTTTCATCCACTGCCGCCCGGTTTGTGTCGTGTAGATGTTGATTATGAAAACACTTTGCAATAATTTGGAAACGTGAAGGGGGAGCTGCTGCTGCCTGGTGTTTACAAATTTACAAACAGCCACTATTTCAAACAACTGGGCTCATAATCGTTATGTAAACACTTACTTTCTCGCTAGAAAAAAATATTATTATTGAATGAATTTATATAATTTGTCTGGAATGCAGTCGTTCTGTGTAGCTTGTGGTAGGACTATTTAAATTTTCCCGGCACTGCGTCTGGCCGGCACGAAATGCATTCTGGGGTATTTAGTATGCATCTGTATGTAAACGCTCGGGCAGCCGCGGCATACTCAAATCATCTTTGAGTAGTCAGTATGCAGTAGGTACTGCTTGAGTAGGTAAGTAGATAGTAGGCAGTATGCCATTTCGGACACAGCCTCAGTATATGTCTGCCATATGTTGCTACCCCTCAAAAATTCCTGCCCCCCTCTTGCCACCCCATGAATATTTTCCTAGATCCGCCCCTGTATGGGTCAGAACTGCACAGTGCAATCTCTGTCAGACTTGGTCATGTTGGTTAAAATACATGTGGAGATATGCCATTCACCTCTGGTAGTTTCAGTTTTAGTGCTGCAAAATGTCAAATCACTCGTTTCTGTAAAACCCCTTAAGATTAGTCAGAAACAAACAGCAGGAGATTTGCAGATCACTAACTGGTAGTTTTGGAGTAATTACATTAACTCAGTGCTAAAAATACAAGTCTCCTGTTTTTGTAAATTGTCACAGTAATGTAGGTAAAAGACATTGAGAGGCATTGAGAGGTTTGAAGCTCACTACTGCTAGTTTCAGTATTAGAATCACAAATCGTTGGTTAACATTGGTTAAAAAAACATCTGGAGATATGCAGATGACGTGGGAAGGAGTACTAGGAGTTTGAGTGTAAGTAACATGGATCAATGCTACAACATGCTGTTTCTTTTCTTATGTCACAGTGTCATTGAGCAGTCTTTGAAAAGTCTTCCAAATTACATGATCACAATCGTAAAAAAAACAACCACCTTTAAATATGCCAATTAAATAAAAATAGTACAAGGGGTTTTAGTTGTAATTTCATAATCATTTCTGCAAAATTCAAATCCACTTGTTTCTGCATAACTACATGAGTTTAAAACAACAGTCTGGAATCATAAAGTTCACTTTTCACCAGAAGCTACTCTTGGAGTTCATGGACTTTGACATGTTTGCATCTCAGTTTGAGATTATTCCACCCATCATCAGTCTGACAGAGTGAGATGTTGGGAGTTTGTTATTTCAGCTCAGTCTTCCCCTTCAGTGGTGTGTTTTAATGAGATAAATAGACCATAAATGGGATAATCATCTAATTTACAAAAAGGGAAAGCTGAAAACGTACCTTTGAGATGCAGCTGTACGTGAGCTGCTGGTATCCTCTGCTTCAGTTAGTCCCACTCCGGACAGCAGGAGCTCTCTGGGTTCATTGGCTCAGTTTACACACCTAAACCACCAGGTAACCTTGAATCTCTCCTGCTCAGTTGGCACAGAAGTTTCTCTTCTCTGTCTGTTGGTTAGTCTTGTCTCCTCATCCTCCTCCTCCTCCTTTTTCTCTTCTTCTTCTTCTTCTTCTTCTTCTTCTTCTTCTTCTTCTTCTTCTCCTGGCCTTTTGTAATAATAATATAATAATGCATCAGATTTCATATAGTGCTTTATCAGAGACCCTCAAAGCGCTTTACATTGGATACATCGTTCATTCGCTCACACAGTCACACCCTGGTGGAGGTAAACTACCTTAGTAGTCACAGCTGCCCTGGGGCAGACTGACGGAAATGTGGCTGCCATTTTGCGCCTACGGCCTCTCTGACCACCACCACACAACACTCACAATCATACACCAGTGGAGGACACACACTGGGAGCAAGGTGGGTTAAGTGTCTTGCCCAAGGACACAACGGACAGACTTGAGATAGGGGGGGAATCGAGCCGAAAAACCTTCCAGTTATTGGACGACCTCTCTAACTCCTGAGCTACTGCCGCCCAATGACCATTTACTATGACAACAACCTTAACAACAAGGTCAAAACACTTTTGAGAACAACTAATCAAAACTTTTAACTTTTAACATTTGATCATTATTCTGCCAATTAAGACTTTAATAGTTATTCTGATCATATTTTTTAAGGTTTATGGAAGTGAATGATGTTTGTATTGAAGCCTACTGTTTGTTTGTTTGTTTGTTTGTTTGTTTGTTTGTTACACCTCAGTTTTATTTAAAATTACACTCATGACAGAAGCACTTATTTATTATACTTATTTATGATACTTGCTTTTACCTTGGCTGTATCCCAGAGCTTAGATATTTATCACTTGAGTAATATTTATTTATGTGTCTTGTTCACTGATTTCTTTCTGTTGTGATCGATGTGATCGATGGAGCCTGGAGTCATTGAAAAAAAAAAAAAGTTTTTTATGATGTTTCAGTAGTTTAAAATTGGGGTAGGCAGGATGTGAAGAAATGCCAGTTTTGGGGAGAAATCTTGAATGTAAACACTACCCCTTCCAACAAGTTTTCCCCTCAGCTCCTCCTCCCCACTCCGTCTCTGCTCCAGCAAGCCCCACCCACAAACAGACGCTCCTGCTCGCTCATATCATTCCAATTAAATTCAGATATAATGCAAATAAATACTTCAGATAATTGTAAATGGGGCCCAGTTAACGTGAAAGTAAAAAGCATTGGTGTTACTGTAGATGCCAACAGACTACCAGTAAACACAATATTTGCAGGACTTCTACACCTAGGATTAAGTGACATAGTCCAGGACCCGAGGTAAACAGTTTAGTGGTGCTACAACATGCAGCAGGTCCTGTTTGACAAGAAACAACTTTGTTACACTTGACTTACTTTGTTAAAGGGTTTACCTGTCCAGCAGAAAGGTTACAGGGTCCTTAAGATCCCAAAGCATCCCCCATCATTGTTGACCCAGCTTTTTTAACTCTTGTCCGGTCTACCTCCTTTTTAAGCACCCGTTATTCCACCAGAGTCTCCAGTATTTAGTTTGTTTTCTTGCTTGTGTTGGCAGTTGTGGCTAAAAGAGGATTCAGACAATTTTCTGTACTTTCTGGTTGGTTTCTACTGTCTGATATTGTAGCACGCTAACTTTGTTTGGGCTCCTGAACGACACAGGGGTGAAGCGTCTGCCTCACAACCAATCAGCACTGGGGAGCAGCATCCGCCTCACAACTAATCAGGATGGGGGAGGCAGGGAATGGCATTGTTTACAGTCAGAAATAGTGGAGTGCTCTGAAATTTTAAAATGTTGACTACACAGACATAACAAAACAGCGATATCGTTATATTACCAAATGTCATCAATGACCATGGTTGTTTTCGTTAACGCCCCTATTTTTCCACGACAAAGACGTGACATTGACGAGCTAAACATAAGTCTTAGATGACTAAAATGTGACAAGACGAATGTGTGTTTTTCTGTGATGAGACAAGACGAGACGAAAATGTTAGTGGTGGACGACGAACAGTTGCAAAATTCATGAGCATTTCGTCAGTCAAACGCTAAACATATATTCTTCAGAGTTGTTTTCGTTGACGATGACGTTGACGAAATATTCTTGTTAATGTCATTGTCAACGAAAACAACACTGTCAATAACTAATAGCTATTGACTGATATTAAAAGCTGTATATACACCACAAAATAGATGCTTCTTTACCCCTTTACCCCACATTTAATCCTGGTTGTTTTCTGTAGTTCTGTATTTTGCCTTTGTTTTGTTATTCGTGTCAAACTGGATCTCATCAGCTTGCTGTAAAACACATTTTCATACAGGTACAAATGAAGTTACCTGAAATTTACAAACGCAGCATAATCTCTCTTAGCAAGTCTGTGACCCGTTTTACAAACTGAAAGCAGGGTCTCTCGTCTCTCTCACATGAACTAATGAACTGAGGGCATACC